GTGTGTGTGTGTGTGTGTGTGTGTGTGTGTGTGTGTGTGTGTGTGTGCGTGCGTGTGCGTGTGTGAGACAAAATGTCTTCAGTGTAAAGCCACAGGCTCTGTGGCTTTCACCTCAGTGTAACTGCTCCACCTTGTGGTCAGAGAGAGGAATGAAATCACACCAGTTTGTGTTTAAATTATTTCAATGTGCAGCTGCGAGGAAAAAAAGCCATTAACTTTAGAAAGTGTATTTAATTATTTCAGTGACACACTTTGCTTCCCTTTGGAATGTAATTTTTATATAATTACAGCATAACCAGGCAGTAAATTGAATAGTCCAAATCAGTTAAATGGCTATCTGAATGATGATATTCCCCAGAGCTGAATTAGCACTGAGGACGTCCAGACTGTGTCTCTTGTATTATTTTTAGAACTATGGCAGAAAAAAAAGAGTTTACTTTTCTGCACGGTGATTTTTGAAAGTTGTTGGTTATAATTTTCAGTTAATTTCAAATATTTTTGTTTGTTAGATTTTAGTCAAAAGCTAGATGTGTTTGGTATAAATAAATAAATAAATAACTTTAAGGAAGTCTAGATGAAACATCTTTGGAAAATGCATAGAAAACATTTGGATTAAGATCGATTAAAACTTTTTCATTTGTGTTTCCTAAACTAGACTGAACCTAAAGACCCTAAAAGCAGGCCTATGTTGTTGTTGTGGTTTTATTTTTGCATATTTAGGCTAACAAATATATCATGTAAATATATTGTCTTATATTCTTAGAGTATTGGGGAGACATATTTTTATTGATCATGCTAACTATGCTACAGTAAGAAAACACCTGAAGAAAGTATTCCAGACTATCTGTCATTAAAAAAGTCAAATTCTCTATGTGGCCCTTCAGTTGTTTTAAATATTTTGATTTGGCCATCTGAGAAAAACATTTGACTACCCCTGAATTAAAAGAAACGTTCTCATCGAAAAATATCCTATCCCTACGAAATACAACCAAATATGTTTATCACAATATACTTCTCCTATGTATAGTTTTTAAAAAATTTGTTTGACAACCTCTTGATTTTAGCATCACTTAACAAGTGCCACCAAACACTTTGATTTATTTATGTTAATAGAGACATATCTATTCAACATAAAAACCATTTTTGTTATAATCAATTCTCTTTCCTCAGTGTTTATAGCTCATTTCTAGTTAAATAAGTTAGTTTCATCCACAAACAATATACTGTAGTTTTTGACATAGTACTTATAAAACAATTATTATGTAATTACATTTTAAATAACTTATGTCCTAAAAATGAGCCCTGTGGAACACCACAAGTTATTAGTGCTGATTCTGAACAATTGAATTTAACGGGTGCAATATGTTCTTAGAGGTTGTGCACTTTTTCTCTAAAAATCTTACTTTAACCTGGGAAACAAGCAAATTTAAGCCTGATCTACTTTCTAATGTAGAGCAAACAAAAAAATATTCAGCAGCTTGTGGATGTTTAATTAATCGTAAAAATACTCTGCGTAGTGTTTCAGAGGAATAAGTCATGCTGTGAATAAAAATCTTAATTTTACCCAATTTATTTTTAGTCACAAAGGCCACATCTATCATTTTTATATAAAACGGATGTAAAAAATATGAATTTGATTAAATTTCACTGTTCAGTGGAGTGACAATCCAATGTAACTTGTTAGCGTAATATAGCTTAGAAAAGCTAATGGAAACAAGCTTAGCTAGGTTTTATGATTACACAAAATAAAAATAAAAATTCTATAAGCTACTAAATGTGTTGTTTTTGATTGTTAAAACACAAGTATTGACATTTTTAGCCACTGAATCGAGCTAGCTTCTCCTTTTTAGCTTTTTGCCAAGCTAAGCAGCTGCTAGCTGTAGCTTCAAATTTCGTAGCACAAATGGCCTAAAACGAGCTCGTGGACACAAATTCAGCAACATTTTGTGGTTATAAAATGTAAAAATGTATATTTCTACTCACTGTGTTGTTTTTTTATTAGTTGAAACAAGAATAATGTAGAAAAGAAAGTTTTTTACATTGAAATAGATTTTAAGCCTCTGAAAAGAGAAGCTGTATAGATTTACGTTTAGCACACAGACATGAATATTTAATGTCCTATATAAAAGGACTGCAGCAGATTCACTCTAACAACTTGTAAACATATTGCAGCTATTGTCAACTTAGATAAATTATCTGTATACGTTTTAAGCTCTCAACCCTTTTGCTCTTTGTCTAACAGACTGGTGAATACGCAACAGATGAGGAAGAGGAGATGAGTCCAGTGTTTCCAAACTCCATCGAGGTTTTTGACCTGGCAGAAAACCAGGACATGTCTCCAGTGGAGCTGGACCCTGAGAAGCTGGCCCACAAGTACAAGGAGGTCCTGTTCATTAACTGCATCTAAAGCACAACTCTTTCATTGATCACTCTCTCTCGGAGCGGTCTTCAACTTGTGCTCCTTTAAAGTAGATCAAGCAGGATGTGAGATGGTTTTCCTCTCTTCCTCTCTGCAGCTCCAGATAAAACACGCAGTAACCCAGGCAGAAGTCCAGCTGCTAAAGAGGAAGGTAAGCTCACTTTAGTTTCAGCTTTGTTTCGACGTGCGCAGGTGAAAATCTCTGCCGTGTCCAGTTTGTGTAACAGAAGCATAACATCAGTTCCTTAGCTGTTCTCGGCGATGACTTAATGTTCCCTCTGCCTCCCACATACCACCTCCTCCCTCCCACAACAACACCCTCACCCCCAGCTGGCTCATGCAGAGCAGGATAAGTTGCGTTGGCGGATGGAGCGCGCTCATTTGGAGCAAAACATAAGAGACAGCAAAGAGAGGATGGAGAAGCTCGAAGGATACTGGATGGAAGCACAATCCCTATGTAAGGTAATGTCTTAGGCAATAAGCCTTCAAAGAAAAGAGGATGACGTATACGTTTTATTTTTTACTATACTATAAAAGTCGCCTACAGTGGGTTGGAACCAACCACCCAGTGGTTTTTCAAATTGATTTGAAGTAGTGGATTCGCAAAAATACTCCAGATTAATGAAGGTAAAAAGGAAATATATGTTTTAAACAAATATATAATAAGAAAAATGATTTATCAAGTTCTTTTTTTTGAAACCCCCAAAGCTACATAATTAAGCTGCAACCAAACAAACGACAGCATGAAGACCAAGGAACTCTCAAATACAAAGTAGTGAAAATAACGAGATCAGGGTTTTTAAAAAGTTATCCTGAACCCTGAACGTTCCAGGAGGCCAGCAAAGATGCTGAGAGAGAGTCGTTCACCAAAACTCACAGGAAGAGAACAAACGGCCTAACGTAACCTGGACTGAGCTGAGCAGCTCCTCTGCAGAGATGGGCGTAACGCCACGTCACACTGCACAGAGCTGGACTTCATGGAAAACACCTTAAAGAAAAAAAACATGGCTGACACCAAAGACAACTCAGTGTGTTGGTACAAACCTAACACCTTTCATCTTGCTGAGACCACCGTCCCCACAGTGAAGCACGGTGGAGTCAGCATCATGATACGGGACGTTTTTCATCAGTAGGTACTGGAAAACTCGTTGAAGCGACGATGGATGGAGGTAAAATAGAGATATCCTCAATGAAAACCTCTTTAAGTCTTCCAGAGATTTAAGACTGGGACAGAGGTTCCAACATGACACTGAACACAGCTGAAGCAACACTCCTCTGGGCTGGAGGAGAAACAATCAAATGACCTAGAGCAGGGGTGCCCATACTTCTTCATCATGCAGCTACTTTTAAAAGGACCAAGTCAAAATGAGCTGCCTGCTATAAGTCCCCGTTAGTGTTTTTTCAATGTTTATTGGGGTAATAAACAAAAAATGAGCAGGTTTACATGAAAACTGTAGTTTCCATGTCAGTCGGGTTGCCAGATAAGAAATTATGAACTATAGTACTGCTTTTTTAAAATGATAGTATATTGAGCTAAACTGTTATATAAGATGCTCTAAGATGAGATGTGTGTTGTGTTTGTTGAACATGTGCACAGAAAAGAAGGGGGTAAATGAGTCATTTTAAATTTATCTGGCACCCCTCATTACGCATGCAGCATCTGCATGACAGTTAGTCCAAACTGGACAAGCTAACCTTGGTTTGCTAACACTGGGTGTGTGTTTGTAGGCTGTGGATGAACACCTGAAGGAAACCCAGGCCCAGTATCAAACCCTAGAGAGGAAATACAACAAAGCCAAGAGAATGATTAAAGAATACCAGCAAAAGTAAGCAGAGACAAACTAAAAGGCTTGATTGTAGTTTGATACTGCTGCCCTCTAAGTCATTTTGGATTCTGTGAAATGACACATTATTTGTGATTTGCAGGGAAATCGAACACCTGAAGAAGGAGACGGATCAGCGACGTGCACAGGAAGAGAGTGAGGCTACACACAAAGAGGAGACAGAAAACCTACAGGAAAAGGTAGCTGTCACTCGTTTTTATCACTCCTTCTTCTTCTTTCAGCTTTTCCCTCTCCAGGCGTCTCCACAGAGAGTCATCCTTCTCCACCTCACTCTGTCCTCTGCACCCTCTGTCCTCACTCCAACTACCTCCATGTCCTCTCTAACTGCATCCATGTATCTCCTCTTTGTCTTTTTCCTGGCAGCTGCATTTCCAACATCCTTCTACCAATATACCCACGGTCCCTCCTCTTGACATGTCCAAACCGTCTCAGTCTGGTCTCTCTAACTTTATCTCCCAGTTGTTCAACCTGTGCTGTACCTCTGATGATCTCATTCCTAATCTTATCCAGCCTTGTCACTCCTAAGGAGAACCTCAACATCTTCATTTCTGCCACTTCCAGTTCTGTCTCCTGTCTTTTTGTCCATGTCTCTGTCTCCAGACCATACAACATAGCTGGTCTCACCACTGTCTTGTAAACTTTTCCTTTGACCCTTGCTGACACCTTTTTGTCACAAATCACTCCTGAAACTTTTTTCCATACACTCCGTCCTGCCTGGACTCTTTTCTTCACTTCTTTACCACACTCCCAATTTTTCTGGACAGTGGACCTCAAGTACTTGAGGTCCTGCACCTTTGTGACCTCTGCTTCTTGTAGCCTCACTGTTCCACCAGCCTCCCTCTCATTTACACACATGTACTCTGTCTTACTATGGCTGACTTTCATTCCTCCTCTTTCAAGTGCTTACCTCCACCTCTTCAGATTCTTTTCTACCTGTTCCCTGTTCTGATCATAATGTCATCTGCAAACGTCATAGTCCATGGAGATTCCTGCCTAACCTCATCTGTTAGTCGGTCCATCACCAAAGCAAAGATGGCATCAGTGGTGCTCTTTCTTGGTATGAAACCATACTGCTGCTCACATATAGTCACCTCTCATCCAAGTCTTGCTTCCACAACTCTCTCCCAGATCTTCATCGTGTGGCTCATCAACTTAATTCCCCTGTAGTTGCTACAACTCTGTACATCACCCTTGTTCTTAAAAATGGGCACCAGCACACTTCTTCTACATTCCTCAGGCATTTTCTCACCCTCAAATATGCCATTGAATATTTGAGTCAAAAACCTCACTGCCATCTCTCCAAGACATTTCCAAACCTCCAATGGTATGTCATCAGGTCCTACTGCCTTCCCCTTCTTCTTTCTTTTCAGAGCTTTCTGGACTTCGCCCTCACTAATCTTTCCCACTTCCTTGTCGACAGTTTTTATGACCTATACTCTTCTTTCTCTTTCATTCTCTTCATTCATTGGCTCCTCAAGGTACTCCTTCCATCTTCACGTCACACTCTCCTCACTTGTTAGAACATTAACATTCCTATATTTAATAAGCCTAACCTGCTGCACATCCTTTCCAGCCTGATCCCTTTGTCCTGCCAGTCGGTACAAGTCCTTCTCACACTCTTTAGTGTCCAGTCTCCCATGCAACTCATCATACGCCTTCTGCTTTGCCTTAGCTACCTCCCTCTTTGCTCTACGTCCCATCTCCTTATATTCCTGTCTCCTCTCTTCAGTCCTCTCACTGTCATATTTCTTCTTGGCTAATCTCTTTCTTTGAACGGCGTCCTGCACTTCACTATTCCACCACCAGGTTTCTTTATCATCCATTCTCTGTCCAGATGACGCATCAAGTACCTTCCTACCTGTCTCTCTAATTACTCTTGCTGTATTAGCCCAGTCATTTGGAAGCTCTTTCTTACCACCCAGAGCCTTTAACAGCTCCTCTCTGAATTTCTCACATTCTTCTTCAGCTTCCACCATTTGGTCTTCTTCTCTGATTTTACTCTTTTTCTATTTTTCACAACAGCAGTCATTCTGCACACAACCATCTGATGCTGTCTGGCCACACTCTCCCCTGCCACAACCTTACAGTCCCCAATCTCCCTCAGGTTTCCTCTTCTACACAGAATGTAGTCGACCTGCGTACTTCTTCCTCCACTCTTATAGGTCACTCTTATGTTCTTCCCTTTTTTGGAAATAGGTATTGACTATAGCCATTTTCATTCTCTTGGCAAAATCCACCATCATCTGTCCTTCCTGATTTCTTTCCTTGACACCAAACTTACCCATCACTTCCTCATCCTTTGTTTCCTTCACCAACGTGTCCATTCAGGTCTGCTCTGATCACCACTCTTTCTCCTCCCTGGGAATACTCTCCATCACTTCATGTTCTCCCTAGTGGCTGGTTTTGTCACTCGTCTTTATCACACTGATGACAGTATACTGAAGTGAGTCATGGAATAAACATTTTTCACAGCAGACTGTTTGGCTCGTTGCAGCCTGAAAAGCACAGGTGTCACTTATAATAACAGCTTATTTTCACCCAGTCCGTTTGCCTGAGTCCACACATTTGAATTTGTCTCCAGTGATGAATCATCGAGCCTTGCAGCTTGAAAAGTGGATTACTTCACTGAAGAAGCAGTAGATTGAGTGTCACAGGGAGACCAGCAATGAAACAACCAGCACAAACTCTGACTGGTGCTGTCCCTTAAAACGACCTCTAATTGGGGTTGGATATGTTTTCTTATGATTGGTTAAATAAATCGTTCTATGGGCAGAAACTTGTGCCATCAGAAACTGAATTTGAATTGCTCCGACTGAATTGCATAATTTCAAATTAAATCCATAAGTTTAAAATTTTATTTCACTAAATTATAATGAAAATTCAGTTTGACTATTTTCATTTTCAGTTCTAGGGTTCAGTTTTTTATGTCACACATCCGGGTCCTTGAGAAAGCCTCGGAGTAATCGAGTGCAGATTGACAGATTTCGTTTCACGTTAGTGAAACTTCCTTAATGGAAATGTAGGCGTGGGGTTCAGTCTGAAGGAGGCGGTGATGCAACAGTGTGGATGTAATACCTTTACAGCGTATTTTGAGCTGGAGCAGTGGTGCACACATGAGTTCATGCCTGTTCATGAACTGATTGCTCCAGACATTGCCTCACTGGCAGCAAACAGTCTGCATCTGCATTTCATTAAAAATGGAAAACTATGGCTGTAATTGTAGCCATTTTATTATTATATGCCCATTGAAGGCAGACACTTTATGGTGTAGTGGTCTCTGTCCATATGACTGTCCCAGCCGTAATAAAACTTCATACACATATGCATCATCACAAGACGGAGGGATGCATACATTTTTCATCACCCCAGCTTCAAAATTAAGGTCACAAATCAAGGTCAGATATGCAAGGTCTTTGCTTGTCCAGGCCATTATAGATTGCTGTGTAATCGTTTGTTGACAAGCGTATAATGTGTCGTATGCAGGACTCTTGTTTAAAAGAGGGATGTTGGTGAGAGATAGCAAGAATATAGTTCATTTTTACAGATCAACTTAAAACTGTGCCCTGGTCTGCAACTGTTCATGCTACAGTCCATTTACCTCACAAGTCAGAAGTCTGACCTGAGAACTGCGTCATATTTAACTTTACGGTGCTCCAGTTGCAGCTTAAAAATCTACAGAAATGGCTAACAGTTGTACTCATCCTCCAAGGAAACTACTGTTAACAATTCAAGCTAATAATAAGAATATATCTATCTGCATTTTAGACATGTTCACTTTCAGAGGTTGTAATATGTGCACTATGTGTGCAACTGCTTCCATATGTTTCAGATTATTTTATGCTGTGGGACTCAATAAATAGTACAGTCCAATTCACCTCCAACATAAAGTTGGGTGGATGTTTTTCCACCCAACTCCAACAGAATAACAAGAGGTTCAAACTTAATTTTTCTGCCTCGAAGTCAATAAATTATCACGTTAATTCAGCAATAAGGCGGCTGTGGTGCAGTAGCAGGGCAGCTGACTCGGGACTGGAAAGTTGCAAGTTCGATTCCCTTCCATGCCCACATGTTGTGGTGTCCTTAAGCAAAACACCTATTCCCTACCTTCTCCCTGTGTGCTTGCATAGCTGCATGCTGCTCCACTTGCGCGTATCTCACGTGATAACTTAAATCAGGGGTGCCCAAATTTTTTCTTGAGAGCCAAATTTAAAATCTATCAGAAGACTCGGGCCAAATGCAATACTAAATTATAATACATGGAATGTAAATACATCTTTAAGTAAAGTCCATTTATTTAGTATTCAGTTATTTAATCTTCCATTCTGTATAAAGAACATTACAGAACACAAAATATAACAAATAAGTCATATATAAGAAATTAAAACAAATATTGAAATTTTGGCATTTCGTGCAAAATGTAAAAAATGAATGTCCAACAGCAACACAACTTAACAGCAACAATAATTTGAACATAAATAAACAGTCTCATATATACGGTAGTCAGTGGACCATCTAACATTAAAGTCAGTGGTTGAATGACTGAGTGAAAACACATTGATTCTTGAAAGGAAATTTTAATTTAGTAACAAGGAATGCTTGGCAGGCCAACTTTGGCCTGCGGGCCCCACTTTGGGCACCATTGACTTAAATACAGATGACAAATGCGGTTAATGATCAAAATACATAGCACTTTCTTTCAATAATTCCATCCTGTTTTTAAGGGTGCAGCAATGACTCTTCCTCTCAGCACGTAGCTACAGAGGCAGCAGGGGGAAGCGGCCTTTCCAACATGTCTTAACTTGACGTGCTGCATGGTCCTAATGCCTGACATGTTTGTTTAAACTGCAGACACACAAACTGTTTAAAGTAGTGGGGACATTTTAAGGGATCATTTCACCAGAGAACATCACAAGATTTGTTGTTTGTTTGTTTACACGATTTTCTGGCATTTTAGTCTTACAAGATCTCGTTACACTCCTAGTGAGTTGTATCACAGTTTTCTGTTGTTTCCACAGATTACAGATTTGGAGAACAAAGTGGATGCCTTGAAGACCCCCAACCCTTCGTAGACTGCTGCTACTTCTTACCTCCTGTCTGTGACCGGAAGAGGAAGTGATCTGCCTTCTTTCTGTCCAGAGCCATATTATATTCCAACCAACCATTCACTGCACATACAGGTAGCGAAAGGGGGAAAATAATAAGGATGTAAAAGCAAAGTGAAACTGAAGAGTATGGGATGTGACGAAGAAAGAAGTAACCTCTCATCTGATATCAGCCAGTGGTTCAACACTCTGTCACTACTTAAAATATCCCAGAATGCATCGTGTGTAATAACCAGAATCCTCCTTGTGTGTCTTCCTGTCAACCAGCTTGGCAATCAACAAAAACACACTTTATACTCTATGGCTGATTCGTTTTCCTCTCTTCATCAACAGTATTTCATCAGGTTCTCTTCATGGTTCAGATTTACTTTTCTGAAAGCGCTTTTAATCACCAGGCTTGTCACAAAGTGCTTTATGGAGCGGCCGTGATGTGAAAGAACTAAAACAAAAAAATGTAAAAGGACTAATGATTGTTGCTTTTGAACCTGGTGGATGTCTGAACCTGTTTCCCTCCCTGGTAATTGGAGGGAGGTTATAGAGGATCTTTACGAAGAGGACAAGTCATCTGTCTGTTCTCTCACACGGATCATTTGATCCAGTGACTTGGACGAACGGCCAGCTCGTTTTCCCAAAAGCTTGAAGAGTAACAAAGTTTGGAAACGAAGAAAGCCACCACACAGCTGATAGTTAAATAACAAATACTATGAAACGAACTAAAGAACTATGAACATGCACTGTCTGTTACACTGTCTCAGCCTATAGTTAAATCTCTGCAAGCAGTGGAAAGAATCACACAGAGGTGCACTTCAGGTCTGAACTGGGGGTGTCAAATCTGTATATACTCTATACTTTTTAATTAAAATAGCTTTTAAATAGCTTAAGCATTGGAGTGGATCAGGTTTTTGAGACTAAGGGTCACCACCTTGCTGTTGGGGTAAAGGTTCAGGATTTCTCAGAGTGTTTCATCTCTTTTCTATCAGCATCAGTGTCAAACAGGGTATGAATATTATATTCTGTGAATTTAGAGCTAACGGTGTTGGTATTTACAATATCTATGGGTTTACATGCACACCAACCTTCAGTTCTTCGTTTTTTGTTATGTATTTTGAAGCTGGAGCAGGGGCCGGTTGTTTTTAGGTTACATAAATATATTTTCTTCATCTCAGTACAAAAGTATTCAGAGGTTAATTTGTTAGCAGCCTAGCTAAACCTTTATGGCAAGTGGAGAACATTCAGTTATCTTCTTCATTCAGAAATCAGTCACTCCATAAATAAAACAATTTTGTCCCCATCCATACAACTGCAGATATTTTTAAAAACAGGTATTTTCTGCTGCAAAGTGGAGATTTTGTTCAAATCTTCTGAGTAGTGTATCAGAGTCAGAGAGTCAGAGTCAGAGAGTCAGAGTCAGTATCAGTGTAGACAGGAGATACAGAGGTTTTCAGAAACAAGACTTCCTGTTTTTACACACTCTGACCAAAACAACAAATATACCAGTTTGTACCTTTTTTATTTTTATTTTTCTCACATCCTGTAAACTTTATGTGCTGAAATGATTAATAACCTAGAAGAAAATTTAAATGGTGTTAAAGAAATATAAAAGTTTTTTGGAGAATCTTTGGCCAAGCTAACTATATTTTTTCTTTAGTTTGACATTTTTTAAGGTGGATGTTCTTCTGGAGGCATGAGTTTCTGTTAGAACCATTGAAACAGGAAAAAAACCTCCCTGCTGTGTAGACAGGATCTAAGATCTAGTTGGTGCGAATGTCCACATTTAAACTAGAGCCTGACTGATATGGAAATTTTGGCTATCACCGATACCAATATTGAGAGGGGAAGGCGAATGTTGATAACCGATATAATGGCTTAAATTTTTTTAGCTTTGTCCACCATCAAGAATCTAATAAAACAGCGAGTGGAGCTGGGCTTGTTTATTTAGCGCAGCTGTTAGCACCCATGAAGCTAAGCTAATCAGATCCACTCTATACCTCGTCCCACAGCAGGTTTACAAGTGGTGCACTGGTCATAAAAACAATCTTCCTAACGTGTGTTCACATCTATCCTCCACTATTCACTATAAAGTTATCAAGTGTGTTAAACAAATATAAATTAAAGAAATACTGTTCATTGGTTAAACAGTCATGTATGGTGAAGGTCTAATTAGTATTGACTACAGCTGCATTTATTTATTTTTTTGCAGAGACGAAAAGATTTCAGACAAAAAGTGCATTTCATTGAGAACAACAGTCAGATAGAGAGAGAGTCAGAGTTTGTTTGTCGTTCACACCACATGTTGTACATGTGGTGGAACGAAATTGTGTACACAGGGTCCCAGTTACATCCAACAAAAGTATAAAATGTAAAAGAAAAACAGTAATAAGATTTAATATATGAGCAAAGAAAAACGTTAACTAAAAATACGCTAAGCAAAGATAATGTTACTAATTTATATTTACCACTATGTTACATTTATTGTTCCGGATAAAGTTTAACAAGGCTATAGCCTATGCTAGTTTATCTAAACGTTAGCTTGCTAACTTGAGAGACACGTAGCTAATGACAAGCAGGATGAAGAAATGAAAATAATTAATTGTTGATTTATTTTACAGATCAGTTAAAATAAACTTACCATGCTTTGTTCAGCAAAATACACTACACAGTATTGTTTCCTGATTCGGCTGTACTGAATGTGAAAGTGAAACTTAAGTGAACGGCCATGACTTGAAAGTAGTCTTCATGCACCCTCTGCTGGATACATTGTACAGCTGGTTCCAGCATTTTTAGGGGTGAAAATTAGAAGTGTTTATTATTGGTGCATAATGGGACAATTATTTGAAATGATAGGTCCCCAAAAACCTATATCGGCCTAAATTATCGACCCTATCGATATATCGGTTGGGTTCTAATTAAAATATTAAAATAGAAGGAACAGTCTTAGGGCAGCATGGTGGCACAACTGGTAGAGCTGCTGCCTCTCAGCGAGCAGGTCCCTGGTTCAAATCCCGGTCCGGGAGCCTTTCTGGGTGGAGTTAGCATGTTCTCTCTGTACATGCGTGGGTTTTCTCCGGGTACTCCGGTTTCATCAAAAAACATGCATGTTAGGCTGATTGGTGACTCTAAATTGTCCCTAGGTGTGAGTGAGAGAGTGAATAGTTGTTTGTCTCTATGTGTCCCTGTGATGGACTGGAGACCTGTCCAGGGTGTACTCCGCCCCTCGCACAGTGATTGCTGGACGTGGGCACCGGCAACCCCCGTGACCAAAATGGAAGAAGCGGGTAAAAGATAATGGATGGATGGATGGAACAGTCTTAGCTTGGCTAATCATTCACCCTAAACAACTTTTTTATTTGAAACTGTTTAACCTGATTATTTTATCTTTTCAACACATGATGAAAGTTTAATAGTGACAGGATCAAGATCAAACTAAACATCATGGAGAAAAGGAAAAAAGGTAAAAACAGCTCTATTGTTGTTTTGGTTTCTAGGACACAAAGTACAACATTTTCAAAAGCGACCACATCATCTCTCCAAAGTTTCTTGTATTGAGTCTGCTTAGAAACACCAAAACAGTTTGTTTTTCACTTTGGGAAGCATTTTAGTGATTCATTGTCTTCATTTAAAACTTTTGAACAAATGCAACAAAACATCTCTGTTTTGAAAAATGTCCAGTGCAGTGTAGACAGGGCTTTAGAGTCATGGAAGAACTGCCAGGATAAAACAATAAAATGTTTAGCTAAATGACAAAAAGGTGATTGAGAATGCTCATGTTGATTGTACAATTTATGAAAATCAAATCAATATTTTTGTATAACTTCTCAACATAAGTGAATAACTTACATACAAACGTCCTAGATGGATGTTTAAACTCAGTTATTTTTTTTAATCATAAAATTATGTTCTAAACTAAAATTCTAATTAACAAAATAGTCAATGCACTGCAAATTTCTCATTAGTTACTCATTTTATCCAACAATAATTTTAAACACTTATGACTAAAGAAAGCCGGTAAAAGTTGAGATAATTCTAAGACTACATTTATCATTTATTAGAAACAAAATGCTTAGAGACACAAAAAAAAAGCATCCCATTGAAATTAGACTTTGTAATTGTAAATTTCTATGTAGTAATTTGTCAAAAGTATTATAACATTAATCAAACGTCTAAATTCAAACCCACATCTCTTTCATTACTTTAATTTAATTTTATTTTTTTACAGGACATAAATACTCAGTACCAAACTAATATTAATGAGCTCTCAATTTTTTTTTAATTATTATTATTTATTTACATTTGAATTACCAGTAATGAATTGTTTTAAAAATGGCAAAACAAATCTGAGATTTTAACATCCAGAAATACTTCGGAAAATATAAGATGCGTTTAAAAATACCTTTAGGATGATAATATTTTCTGTAAACATTATTTCAGTGATTGATTAGCTGTTAGCCTGTAGTTTGCTACCGGAAATACTAGCTAGTAGCTTGAAACTTACATTAAATTAGCCTCTCTTCGATCACAAACACTTAAGTCAAAGGTTGCAACAAAGAGTCTTCAATACTTTATATTTTAATTAATATTTGTCTTCCCAATAGCTAGTGAACGTTATTATATTAAATAGCATCAGCTAAATTAACCTCTTTGTTAGGTCACAAAAACAAACACCAAATGTCATCTTTTACCAGTTATTTTATATTTAATCACTAGCTTTTCTATTTGTTAGTAGAGCCCGACTGATATGGAAATTTGCACTATTGCCAATACCGATATTGGGAGGAGAAAGTGACTGCCGATAACTGATGTAATGGCTAAAAAATTTTAGCTAAATCCAGCACCAAGAATCTAATAAAACAGTGAGTGGAGCGGAGCTTGTTTATTTAGCTCAGCTGTTAGCAACCATGAAGCTAAGCTAATCAGATCCACACAGTACATTGTCCCACAGCAGGTTTACAAGTGGTACACTGGTCATAAAAACAGTCTTCTTAACGTATGTTCACATTTTCTATTCTCCACTATTCACCAAAAAGTTATCAAGTGTGTTACATAAAAATAAATTAAACAAAAGAAATGCCCTGTTCATTGTTTAAACAGTCAGTCAGGCGTGGTGAAGGTCTAATAGCAGCAGCAGCGTTTTTTTATTTTTTTTATTTTTTATTTTTTTTGCAGAGAAGTAAAGATTTGAGACAAACAATACATTTCATTGAGGACAACAAAGATAACGTTACTAAGACTGATATATAGTTTATCGTTACGTTAGATTTATTGTTCTGAATAAAGTTTTGCACGGCAAAAGCCTATGCTAGGTTATCTAAACATTAGCTTGCTAACTTGAGAGGCATGTAGCTAATGACAAGCAGGTTGGAGGACTGAAGGGAATTTATAATTGTTGATTTATTTTACAGATCAGTTAAAATAAACTTACCATGCTGTGTTCAGCAAAATACGCTACACAGTATTGCTCCCTGCTTCGTCTATGCTGAAACTGAAAGTGAAACTTAAGTGAATGGCCATGATTTGAAAGTAGTCTTCATGCACCCTCTGCTGGATACATTGTATAATTACAGCTGGTTCCAGCATTTTAGGGATGAAAATTAGAAGTGTTTATATCTGCAAATAATGGGACGATTATCACAGTTACCAATATGTCTCCAAAGGCCTATATCGGCTTAAAATATCGGCCCCTACCAATAAATCGGTCGTGCTCTATTAGTTGGTAAATAAAAGTATATCAACATAGACTAAATTAGCCCTGTGTTT